CGCGACGGAGACGTTGTCAAGCGCGGCGAGGCCCAGCTTCGTTTTGACGTCGTTCACGTCCGTCGACAGTGCCACAATGGCCAGAGACGGCGATCCGTTGGACGAGAGAAAGACGATCGAGTGCGAGCCGGCGCGGGGGGCGGTGACCGCGGGAGACGCCGGGTCGACGGCGACGCAGGCGTCGGCTCCCGCGACCGGCGCGGGCGGGTCCGCACCCGCGTCCCAGGTGGCCTCGTGCCGGATCTCGAGCACCGACGCCGTCACGGGCGCGGGGCACTGGGACGCGAACCACGCCACCGTGTCAACCGGGGGGGGGGCGCCAGCGCTGATGAAGAGGCCTCGGCCGGCATCGACGAGCTGCTTGCAAAATGTCGTCCGAAGTCCCTCCTCGTCGCCCTCGAAGACCGCGTCGAAGGTGAAGCGCTGCGCCTCGGTCCCGCCCGGGTTCATGGTCACGCTGGGCGACGGATTCTGGTTCACGCGGACTTTTTCCGGGAGAGTTCCATGGACCCAACAGACGACGCGCAACGCCAAAGGCCGAGCCGGGTTTGGCGGCGCGGGTGGCTTGGGGGACGCGAGCGTCTCGCCAGCTTGGACCATCCTCATCAGCTCTTTGACGTCCACGGTCGGGTCGGACCCGCTACGCTTCCGCGGACGCGTTCCACCCCACGCGGCGAGGGGGTCGTTGCATTCGTCGCCTTCGATGCCGAGGAGCGGCTTGCTATCGACATCGCCGTTGTCGACTTCCCCGGTCTTGGACCTGTTCAGAACACTCTGACGCCGCGGCGTGCGGTTCATGGGTGAGAGGTCGTCCTGGCCCGCGAGAAGGTCCAGGAGTGGCTCCGTGTCGCTTTCTCCTCGCCCCCGGGGCGTCAAGCCGAAGGCCTGCTCCGCTCGCTCGTTTAGTCGGATGAGACTGCGCCGTTTTCGATCGACGTTGGAGCCGATCACGGATGGCTGCAGAATGGAGGTGACGACGCTGCGGCGTCGATCATGGAGCGGGTTCGTGACGAACCTGCGCGATTCGTCATTGTCGTCCATGGCCGCGAAGCGCGAGTCCGTCGGCAGTCTCCCCGGCGTGTCCAGAAAGGACTGCTCCGATCGCGACGTGTCCACCTCCGGCGCCGTCTCATCGTCGTCGTCGCTCTGGTCTTCGATCCTTTGGAACACCCTTTTGAATTGCCGTATCGGCGGCAGTTTCGTGCCCGCGGAGCTATCCTTCTGACTGCTGTCGTCGCCGTCGTTCGCATCGGAATTCCGGAAGAGGCCACGCAATGGTCCAATGAGCGGCAGTTTCACGGACGTTTGGGAGGGGGCGGTGCTGTCGACTTCTACGACCGTGTGCAGTGGCGGCAATTTTGTAGACTCTGAGGTCTCATCCTCGGAACGTGACGGGTCATCTCCCGACCAGCTTCCCTCAGCGGCGCCGCGCCCTGACACGAGATCGATTGCGTCTGCGACATCGTCTTTGAGATCGCGGAATAGGTTGTGGATCTTTGACTTGGGGGATTCTTCCTCGGGGGTTCGTGGTGTCCGAGACTGGCGCCGCGCGGATGATGCAGCGGAGTACGTCGGAGGCACGGGTGGCGGCGATACTGGCTCGTCGTCGGTGTTCGTCGGCACTGGTGCGAGTGGCGGTGGGGACGTGGCCAGATGGCTCGCGACGAGCGGCGATGAGCAGATTCGAAAACTGTCGAGCTCCGTGACGCGACGACCCGGCGGTAGCGGCGGTGCCGGTAGTGTCGCCTCCGACAAGTGGGGAATGACCTTCGAGGACGACCGTGGGCGTCCGCCATCTCGTGGCGAGGTCTTTGTCATCTCGAGGGCGCCGATCTCTTCGCGGACGCTGCCTCGCGGCGTTAGGAATCGACCGACGGGACTTGTTTTCGCTGTCAGCGTGGGTGTCGGCGGTCGCCGGCGTTTCCGAGGGCGAACCACGCGGTAGATACACGGGCATGCGAGCATCAGACTCCCTAATATCAGCCAAATTGATGATGTTTCCATGAAATGGCGTTCTCGTTCTCGACCGGACGTGCTGAACGAAAGCACCGAGGTTGGGTATGCGGACTGCGTGGGTTCGTAGGTCGACGGGCGCTTCGTCGGAAGGTACAGCGACGCCGTCGGCTCGTATGTCGGGCTGGTCGCGCTCGGCGGAGCCGTCGTGGGTTCGTAAGTCGACGGGCGTTTCGTCGGAAGGTACAGCGACGCCGTCGGCTCGTATGTCGGGCTGGTCGCGCTCGGCGGAGCCGTCGTGGGTTCGTAAGTCGACGGGCGCTTCGTCGGAAGGTACAGCGACGCCGTCGGCTCGTATGTCGGGCTGGTCGCGCTCGGCGAAGCCGTCGTGGGTTCGTAGGTCGACGGGCGCTTCGTCGGAAGGTACATTGGGGTCGTCGGCTCGTATGTCGGGCTGCTCGTGCTCGGCGAAGCCGTCGTGGGTTCGTAGGTCGACGGGCGCTTCGTCGGAAGGTACAGCGACGCCGTCGGCTCGTATGTCGGGCTGGTCGCGCTCGGCGGAGCCGTCGTGGGTTCGTAGGTCGACGGGCGCTTCGTCGGAAGGTACAGCGACGCCGTCGGCTCGTATGTCGGGCTGGTCGCGCTCGGCGGAGCCGTCGTGGGTTCGTAGGTCGACGGGCGCTTCGTCGGAAGGTACAGCGACGCCGTCGGCTCGTATGTCGGGCTGGTCGTGCTCGGCGAAGCCGTCGTGGGTTCGTAGGTCGACGGGCGCTTCGTCGGAAGGAACATTGGGGTTGACGTCTTGGGGACTGTGGTAGGAGTTGCCGTCTGCTGCGAGGTCGGAAGCAGGCGAGGGATGGGCGTGGGCAGACTCGATGGCGCGCTGGTCGGGCTTGGAGCTGGTGCTGGCGTCGGCAGGCTCGATGGCGTTGCGGTAGGGCTCATGGTGGGCCTCTCGCTCGGCAAAGACGTTGGTCCCGGCGCTGGAGCTGGGCTCGGATAGTTTGACGGCGATGCCGTCGGGCTCGGCGTAGACGGGGTTGCCGTCGGTCTATCGTACATGTTGCCTCCTTCCACGCAGACGTGTTCCGCGCAGCCGACATTCGGGCACGTGAAGTGGTGCAAGCCCTCGTCCACAAACACGGCGTTGGCGTCCGCATCCGCGTCGTCCCCCCCTTCGAGGCGAACCTCGTAGCAGCTGTCGGGCAGGCACACAAATTGTGTCGCGGAGACCTCCTCGTCCTCAAGCGTTGTGGTAGCAACCACCGCCCCGTCGTCCAGCGACTCGATCACCAGCGTCGCGCGGCTCCCGCTGAGGCGAACGCGGTAGACAGAGGCGCCGGCCGCGCACGAGAGGCTCGGCATGGGTGATGGACCGGCAGAGGGGGCGGCGGACGGTACCGAGCTCGTCGGCATGTTGCTCGGCCTGGGCGTCGGACAAGGAGACGGCGGGGTCGATGGAACAGGCGTCGGCTCGGGCGTCGGCTGGGGCGTCGGCGCGGGCGTGAAAGACACCTCGAACTCGATCGAGTCCGCCAGCCTCGCGTCGTCCGAGCACGTCAGCGTCAGCGTGTACTCGTTGACCTCCGCGTCGCCAGAGACGACCTTCATCTGCTGGCCGTCGTTCTCCGTCGTCTCCGCTCGGACGACGGTCCCGTCCGCGGCCGAGACCTCGACGTCCACGGTCGCGCAGGCGCCGGGGTCGCCGCGGTAGACCCAGAGGACCTCGCACTCGACGCCGGAGACGCAGGTCGAGCCGGAGCCGATGCTCGTGATGCGCAGGAAGGAGGCCGTCGGGGCGAGCGTGGGGGACGCGCTGGGGGTCGCGCTGGGGCTCGAGGACGGACGAAGGTCCGGGGCGCAGGATGAAATCTCCATGCAAACGATGGGTCTTCCACGCCCGCAGCTCCCATCCACCCAGTAGCCATAGTTCCGCCACAGGTCCACACAGCTAATTGGGGTATTGTTCGGCTCACCGGAGCCCCAATTTTCGTAGCTCGTCGAAGAGCCGTCGACCCATGTATGACTCCCGTCGGTCCGATCAGCAGTTCCTCCAATGTGCGTGTATATATTAGCCGGGTTTGGCAACACCGCGTTGATAGCCGCATTCTCCTCCGCGCTGTTGGCAGTAGCAAGCTCATAGCCGTCGCTTTGACATGCCGAACGTGCATTGTCGAAAGATAGGAAAGTATCGTAGTAGTGAAAGCGCTTCTCGCCGCACGGCATCGAGGGCGTCGACGATGGCACCGGGGTCGGCTGTGGCGTGGGCTCGTACGTACAGGCAGCGACTTCGTTGAGATTGAGCTCTCGATCTTTGCCCGGGAGCACAAGAGTCAAATATCGGCCATGAGCACCACAGTGTAGAAGCAAGGGGCTGACCCGACGTTGGTTCGGCGCAGTCGCGTTGGCGCAAAGTGTGGCCGAGGTCGAGAGCACATCGCGGGCGCCAGAGCGCGGCAAAGACGCCGAAGTCTCGCCAACCCAGATCTCGAAGAAGTCGAGACGACCCCAGCAGCAGTTTGCGCGATTGAATACGTAAACTTCATCAGCGCCGTACGACGCCCCAAAGTCGATCTGAAGCCACGCGTCAGTACCTTTGTTCGAATGGCACCCGCCACCATAGCAGCTTTCGTGTCCCGAATAGCTGTTGTCGATGCAAAGCTCCGCTCCACAGCCCCACCCGGTTGTGCTCATGGATGCGGAGACCCGCGGAATTTTTCGGCAACCCGCGTTGATTGGCAACTGCTCCATAGACGGCGATACCGTCAGTGTCGGCGCGAGACTTGGGCTAGCGGAGAAAGTCGTCGGCTCCGCAGACGACGGGTTGGGCGTCGGCTGCGGGGATGCGGTCGGTGTGATGGTTGGGTCGGAGGAGGCCGTCGGGGGGAACGAAGGCGCGTGGGTGGCGCAGTCGTTCTCGTACCAGGCGACCGTGTCTTCGTCGAGGGACGCCGAGAGGACGTCGGCGTCGCCGTCCTGGTCGAGATCGATCGCGAAGACGGAGACGGCGCTGTTTGCTGAGTTCGTGATGATGCGCTCGGCGAAGGACTGCGAGCCGTCGTTCTCGTACCACGCGACCGTGTCGTCGTCTTTGGACGCCGACAGCGCGTCGACGTCGCCATCGCCGTCGACGTCGAGCGCGAAGACGGCGAGGACGTAGTCTGCCGCGTTGCTGATGACGCGCTCCGTGAAGGATTGGGATCCGTCGTTCTCGTGCCACGCGACCGTGTCGCTCACGGAGGACGCCGACAGCGCGTCCACGTCGCCGTCACCGTCGACATCGATCGGGAAGACCGCGTGGGCGCCATTCGCGAGCGTCGTGATGATGCGCTCCGTGAAGGACTGGGCCCCGTCGTTCTCGTACCATGCGATCGTGTCATCGCTGTGGGATGCTGACAGGACGTCGACGTCGCCGTCGTCGTCGACGTCAATTGCAAAGACACATAGGACCAGGTCCGCCGAGTTCGTGATTGTGCGCTCCGTAAAGGATTGAGCTTCGTCGTTTTCGTACCACGCGACAGTGTCGTCGTCCCTTGACGCCGAGAGCACGTCCACGCCGCCGTCGCCGTCGACGTCGAAGGCAAAGACGGAGTTGGCGCCATTCGCCGAGTTGGTGATGACACGGTCCGTGAAAGACTGCGAGCCGTCGTTCTCGTACCACGCGATCGTGTCGTCGGACAGAGACGCCGACATTGGGTCCACGTCGCCGTCGCCGCCGACGTCGATCGCGTAGACGAAGTTGGCACCGTCCGCCGAGTTCGTGATCACGCGCTCGGTGAAGGCGACGCTCGCGCAGCGCACGGTGGGCCGCGGCGTCGGGGCGGCGGTTGTTGTAGGCGCGAGGCTCGTCGTCGGCGCGCGCGACAGCGTGGGCGACAACGTGGGCGCTTGCGTACCGCAGTCGTTCTCGTGCCAGGCGACGGTGTCGTCGCTACCCGACGCCGACAGCGCGTCGACGTCGCCGTCGCCGTCGACGTCGATCGCGAAGACGAAAACGGCGCTGCCTGCAAGCGTCGTGATGGCGCGCTCCGTGAAGGACCCGGACCCGTCGTGCTCGTACCACGCGACCGCGGACTTCGACGCCGACAGCGCATCGACGTCGCCGTCGCCGTCGACGTCGATCGCGAAGACGGAACGGGCATATTCCTCGCTATCACTGATGACGTGTTCAGTGAAGGACTGGGAGCCGTCATTCTTGTGCCAGGCGACCGTGTCGTCGTTGCGCGACGCCGAAAAAACGTCGACGTCGCCGTCGCCGTCAACGTCTATGGGGTAGGCGAAATTTGCGGCCTCCGCCGAGTTTGTGATCACGCGCCTCGTGAAGAACTCGAAACCGTTGTTCTCGTACCACGCGACCGTGTCGTCGCCGTGGGACGCTGAGAGCGCGTCGACGTCCCCGTCGCCATCCAAGTCGATCGCGAAGACGAAGACGGCCCATTCTGCGCTGTTACTGATTACTCGCTCCATGAAGGATTGAGACCCGTCGTTCTCGTACCACGCGATCGTGTCGTCGTCGTAGGACGCCGATAGCGCATCGACATCGCCGTCGCCGTCCACGTCGATCGCGAAGACGTAGGTAGCGCGGTCCGCCGAGTTCGTGATGACGTGCTCTACGAACGACTGGGTCCCATCGTTCTCGTACCACGCGACCGTGCCTCCGCTCGTGTCGTCGTTCATGGACGCGGAAAGCACATCCATGTCGCCGTCGCCGTCGAGGTCAATCGCGTAGGCGGATTTGGCAGTGTCGGCTGAGTTGGTGATGCCGCTCTCGGTGAAGGACTCTGAGCCGTCGTTCTCGTACCACGCGACTTTGTCGTCCCTGCGAGATGCCGACAGCGCGTCGACGTCGCCGTCGCCGTCGACGTCGATGGCGTAGACGGACCAGGCCGCGTCCGCCGAGTTCGTGATGACGCGCTCGGAGAAGGCGACGCTGGTGCAGAGGACCGTGGGCCGGGGCGAGGGGTTGGGCGTCGGCTGCGGGGTCGCGGTCGGTGTGAGGGTTGGGTCGGAGGAGGCCGTCGGCGCGTGCGTCCCGCAGTCGTTCTCGTACCAGGCGACGGTGTCGTCGTCGCGGGACGCCGAGAGCACGTCGACGTCGCCGTCAGCGTCGAGATCGATCGCGTAGACGCCGGCGGCGCCGTTCGCGGAGTTCGTGATGACGCGCTCCGTGAAGGACTGGGACCCGTCGTTCTCGTACCACGCGACCGTGTCGTCGTCGCGGGACGCCGACAGCGCGTCCACGTCGCCGTCGCCGTCGACGTCGATCGCGAAGACGGCGAGGACGAAGTTCGCGCCGTTGCTGATGACGCGCTCCGTGAAGGATTGGGATCCGTCGTTCTCGTGCCAGGCGACGATGTCCTCGTCCCGATGCGCGGCGAGCACGTCCACGTCGCCGTCGCCGTCGACGTCGATCGGGTGGACCCAGCGGGCGCCGTTGGCCGAGTTGCTGATGACGCGCCTGGTGAAGGACTGGGACCCGTCGTTCTCGTACCACGCGATCGTGTCGGTGTTGTCGCTTTCCACCGACAGGGTATCCACGTCACTGTCGCCATCAACGTCGATCGCAGGGACGTTAGTCCCCTCCGAGCTAGCAATGACGTGCCCGGTGAAGGATTGGGCCCCGTCATTCTCGTACCAGGCGACGGTGTCATCTCTGTGGGAAGCTGAGAGCACGTCCACGTCGCCGTTGCCATCGACGTCGATCGCGAAGACTGAGTTGACACCATCCGCTGCCATGGTGATGATGTATTCGGTGAAGGACTGGGCCGCGTCGTTCTCGAACCAGGCGACCGTGTCGTCATTGCTAGATGCTGACACGATGTCGACGGCGCCGTCGCCGTCGATGTCGATCGCGTAGATATGATAAGCCTGGTCTGCCGAGTTCGTGACGACGCGCTCGGCATAGGACTGGGACCCGTCGTTCTCGTACCATGCGAACGTGTCGTCGTTGTAGGACGCCGACAGCGCGTCGACGTCGCTGTCGCCGTCGACGTCGATGGCGAAGACGGAGTTGGCACCGTCCGCCGAGTTCGTGATGACGCGCTCGGTGAAGGCGACGCTCGCGCAGCGCACGGTGGGTCGCGGCGTCGGGGCGGCGGTTGTTGTAGGCGCGGGGCTCGTGGTTGGCGCGGGACTCGCGGACGGCGCCGTGGTCGGCGCCGACGAAGGGGCAAAGCTCGGATGCGGGGTCGCTGTCGGTGTGAGAGTTGGGCCGGATGAGGCCGTCGGCAGAGTCGTCGGCTCCATGCCAGGTATGTAATTGAGATGCTTGCATTCATCCCAGCTTCCACCATTACACTCGCAGTCCATGTATTCGAGGGTTGGAGGACAATTGTACGGCTCGGCGAAAACCCCTCCATACTTGGTCGGCTCTCTACATCCGCTCCAGCACCAGTCACTATCGACGACACCTCCGTGCCAGTTGGTGACGCCGGTGCGCGTTTGAAGGGGACACGAAGGGTGATTGTCACCATTGCAGCAGTTACAACACGCGCACCAAGCTTCGGCAGAACGCAGCATAGCGGCAAAAGACATCCCGATGATCCAGCTGCGATATCCGACTGACCGGCTGCGCGTGTTCGTTCGGTTCCGGCGGCGTGACCTCATCGACATCCCGCAGCAAGCGACCAAAACGAGACACGAAATCAACGCCTGGACGTCCAGCGCGCCGTCACCGGTCGTGCGGCACGCAGCGGAGTCCGGACAAACGTCGTGATCCCCGTCGCCATCGACGTCCGTCAGACGCGCCCGGATGCCATAGCTGTCCATTGAGGTCGCAATTTTGTGCTTCGTGAAGGAGTCGGCCCCGTCGCTCTCGTACCAGTCCGGCGTGCAGCCCATAGTCGTCACGGCCGACGTGTCCCAGCCGCTGATGTCGTCGTTGACGGACTGCGCGTTCGCGTTGTAATGCGCGCAGTCCGAAAAACCACAAAACAGCTCCGACATGTCCGTCACGGCGGAGACGTCCCACGTCGAGATGTGGCCGTACGTCAGCGTCGCCGCGTCCGCGTCCGCGAGCCACGCGTCGACCGCGGTCTCGAGCTCGCTCTTGTCCACGAAGCTGTGCGAGGTCTGGAGCCGCCTCTTCTTCGGCGCGCCGCCGTCCGCGGCGCGCCCGTCGAAGGACGGTATCGTCGAGACGGCGCCCGGCATCTCGTCCCGCGCGCCGCGCTCGTTCTGCGCCCCGTCCGAAATCGTGAAGAAGGAGATGCTACAGAGCAACCAGATCCTCTTGAAACCAAAGACGGCCCGCGGCGGCCTGCGGCGCGCCCCGTCGTGCTCGCGTTTGGAGGCCGGCGCGCAGTAGCGCTCCTTCGTGGCGACGAGCTTCTGGAGTAAAGCCTTGGCCTGAAGGAGCACCAGGACGACGCTCAGTACGACAACCGCGACCGTGAGGCCCGCGAGGACCGCGCCGACTCCGACCACGGACCAGCTCTCGTCCTTGGTCACCTCGGCCGAGATCAAGAGGCCGGAAAACGTGGCGAGCACGAGCACCATGGAAGCGACGATCGCGAGAGCGTTGTCGAGGTGGTTCGAAAAGGGCCGAGCGATCGAATAGAGCGCGAGCGATAGAAATGCGGTCAAGAGGCCGTAGGCGAGCTGCGTCGAGGAGCCGGGCTGGACGGTCACCGCGACGGCCGTGACGAGGAGGCGGCGGACGCTCTCCGTTATTTCGAACCACCAGAACATCGGCAGGTAGTGCATCCAGAGGAAGCCGATGCTCTTCAGCGTGGAGTCGTCGCCCGCGCGGCGCTGCGCGTTCTTGCTCTGCTCCGCGAGGGACGCGCGGCCGCACCGCTCGACGGTCTCTGTCTCTTCGAGGCGGACGCGCCGCGCGCCGTCGTCGCCGAGCGGGGGGTCGATCGCGCGGCGGCGCGCGACCACCAGAGTCGTGAACAGAGCCACGATGCCGATGGGGTAGACGAAGACGCACATGATCGCGTAGGCACTGAAGGCCCTAAATTTGGACGTCTCGCAGCAGGATATGGAGTAGTCGCACGCGAGCAAGCTGCGCCCGTCGTCGAACGAATCGTCGCAGGCGAACGCTTGGAATATCGACGTCGAGGTGGAGCTGAAGACGAAGAAACAAAGTTTGAGGAAGAGGTCTATGCACCTGGCCTTCGAAACCACGGCGACGGTTCCGAGAGCCGCCGACGCGAGAACCGGTCCGATCGTCACGGCCAGCAGCCTGTCGTAAAACGAAAGCTTCTTGACCATACATTCCAGGTGGATCAACGAGAAGAGGTCGAGATTCAGCGGATTGAACAGGCTGAGGACTCGCGTCAGCTGATCGGGCCAGTACACGTGATAGTAGATGTCCGGGAGGTACGACATCGTCTGGAGGAAAACGACGAGGATCTTGACTTTGGCCATGATCGCCTCCTCGATGGCGGAGACGATGGCGTCGGAGTCGAAGCGCTCAAACGAGGGGTATTTGACGTCGAGGATGGTGAGCAGGTCCAGCAAGCGCGGCGGCTTCAGAGACGGGAAAGCCGCGCGGACGGCGGCGAGGAGCGCGTCGAGGTCGACGATCTCCGGGAGATTCGGCAGGACCTCGCGGAGGACCTCGAGGAGCCCGTCGAGCTGGGGCGGCTCGAGGCTCGGGAACGCGGAACGAACGGCGTCGAGGACGAGATCGAGCCTCAGAGACGCGAGCGTCGGCATGCCGTCGAGAATCTCGAAGACCAGCCGCAGATCGGCCAAGTCCGGCACGTCGGGGAGCTTGAGCTCGAGGGCGGCGACGAACCGCTCGAAAAAGCGGTCCATGCCCCACGACTTCTCGAGCGCGTCGGCGATGGACGCCTCGAGACTCTCTCGCACCGGCTCCAGGATGCGGTCCGCGCGGTCCGCCGCGGAGCTCGCCTCGCCCTCGAGGCTCCAGGTGACCGCGTACGTCGCGTCGCCGATGCGGAACGCGTCCGCGAGGTCGTCGCCCGCGACGACGAGATAGACGAAGGCGTCGCGCTTCGTGCGGCGGATCCGCTGGAAGGTCGACCCCGTCGCGACGGACGCGGCCTCGACGATGGCCTCGTCGCCGACGCTCTCCGGGACGGATCGCACGCAGGCGACGGCGGGCCTCGCGCGCGGCGTCTTCGGCGGTCTCTCGGGCGGCGGCTCCTCTTCCGAGTCGTAGGGGCCCACGCGGCGATTCAGCTCCGCCAACGTAGGTTCGGTTCGAGGCTCGGGCGCGTGGACATCCCGAGGCCTCGTCGCGGGCTCGGTCCCCGGAAGGGGCGCCTCGGCCGCCGCGCCGCCGCCGTCGTTGTCGTAGAACGCGCCCCCGCCGGGGGCCTCGTGCTCGAAGGCGCCGGTGACGGTGCCGTCGGGGGGCAGGGTCATCGTCGTGTGATCGTCGCTATCGTACTCGCCGGGCGCCTCGTGCTCGAAGGCGCCGGCGACGGCGCCGTCGGGGGGCGCGGTCATCGTCGCGTGCTCGTGGAACGCGCCCCCGCCGGGCGCCTCGTGCTCGAAGGCGCCGGTGACGGCGCCGTCGGGGGGCAGGGTCATCGTCGTGTGATCGTCGCTATCGTACTCGCCGGGCGCCTCGTGCTCGAAGGCGC